ATATGGAGTAATGAGTAATTAGGAGGGGGGGGGGGGGGGTCGAGCGGGGGGGGGGGGGGAGGGGAGGGTGGGGGCCGAGGGGGGGGGGGGGGGGGGGGGGGGTCGAGGGTTGGGGTGGGTGGGTGGGGGTGACTTGTGGGTGTTTGTATTCTTGTTTTTGTTTTGTGTTGTTGATGTGAATTGTGGTGGGTATGTTAGACGGCAAATTCACAATACACAGATTATGAGGCAAAAGTCCAGGAGATCGGACCTAATGATAGGCAATACTAGCAAAACACTAGGGTCCTTTGACTTGGTAGGGAGCGGGATGGTCCTAGGACCATGAATGTCCCCCGTGTGCTGGCGGCTGATGATAGGGATCGAAATAGTTGTTAGATACTAATAATTGGATAATGGAGAATTATCAAACACAAATAAGATTCGACATAACTGTAGTCATTTGACGAGTAGTCTTTTTGTACATTCGGATACAGCCCGGGTATGACGCGGCGCCGGAAGTGACATCTCATCTGACGCATTTGTGGGCACGGTTCAACAATCTGTGCTCACAGTTTAACAATCTGTGCGCACAGTTTAACAATCTGTGCGCACAGTTTAACAATCTGTGCGCACAGTTTAACAATCTGTGCGCACAGTTTAACAATCTGTGCGCACAGTTTAACAATCTGTGCGCACAGTTTAACAATCTGTGCGCACAGTTTATTTATTTTTTTACCCCTGGCCCTTGCAGGGCTCCGTACAAAAGAAACGACTGCACAGTTTATAAGTTATATATATGTTAGATATGCAACAGAACTCTAGTCCACAGTCTCCGCGTATATCAGGCTCTGCCATGAGCCCAAACTACTTTTCCTTTGGTTCCTTCGAAGCGTGAAGCAGTCCGCTCCTTAGTACCTCGTCCATTGTCCCTGCTGCAGCCGCTCCGTGCTTCCTTCCAACACACACACACGGACCAATCACAGCGGAGCTTCCTTGTGGCACGTAGTTAGAAAATGTCGATGCTGCGCAGCAGGCAACGTAAAGCCTAGTGTATACTTGCGCGGCGTGGCTTACGTTAGCGGTTGCGGTGGACCTACGTAAGCACAATTGATGTTATACTGGCGCGTTCCCCTTACGGAGTTTTGAGGAGAATGTTGTAATCCCACAACAAACCACATGAGGGCGATCACACAGGAGCGGTCCCATTTACGCTGCTACTTTGTCCTCTTCAGAACAACAATAGCAAACAAAGCTGTTTGAGCTCATAGCGAACTATCTGAATGACGTCACTAAGACACGCCCCCGCCGCCTGTCAACTCCCGCCCACATGTTTCGGACAAACACTGCCAAAATGAATCAAATACCTCTTGTCACTTTAGACGAAAATGATAAACCAGGGGCAAAATTCCACCATCAAACCATCAGGGATCATAGTGTAGACCAATTAAAACGTTGGCTTGAATGTCGTGGTCTTCCAGTAACTGGTAGAAAGTTTGATTTGATAAAAAGGTAATGGTGAGGATTATGCTAACATTATCTAGTCATTTAAATTGCAATGTTAGCGCCTTCTTTGTTTATTTTGCTCTGATTAACTTCCATTTATCAAGTTGTTTTTTGTACTGTCCATTTCGTAATTAGTTTGATCATTTAGTTAACTACAGTCAGCCGATATTATAATAGATCCATGGGGTCACAACGGGCTACACCACTACTGTCTCTGAGAGAGAAACTATCGGAGCTAGCCACACTCAGTAAACGCAAACGACAATCAATCAACATATTTAAATGTTAATGCTAGAATGTAATATTCATACAACACACGTGCACAGAGGTTTTCAGAATTATCTGTTAAGGTTTTCATGACAAAAATACTTTTTTAATGCGACTAAAGCGATCGCTTTTTTAAAGTAGGTGAACTAAAACCTTTGGGAACTATTTTCTTTGCACTCATTAAATAAACCTTTTGGCATGAATAGTGACAGAAGTTTATTTTGTGTGTTCAGTTGGTACAAAGCCGTATAATAAGCGGACCCCAACGCGCTTCGTCTGTGCTTATTTTCCGATAGTCACGAAGTTGAAAAAATCCCTCTCATCTTTCTTCAGGTGTGAGAATTGTATACATTCTGGATTAGGACAAACAATACTAATATGGATTGATGGGGCTAACTACATTCAGAAGAGCTCAGACGGACCTGATACAGCGGTCCAGGTCCAGTCCCAGCTAAACGTAGCTAGGACTGGATCTGGAGGCTCCACAGTTGGTCCAGCGAAGTGTTTTGAAAAAACATGTCCTTTTTAACATTTTCATGAGAGAAATTCTGCTGACCACAAGCACCCACCTCTTGCACTTGTCCTGGTCTGGTCCTGGTCTGGTCCTGGTCTGGTTCGATGGTGTGGTTTAACGAACAGGTTGAATGTTACTGCTTTCATATAGTCCTTTTCAGAGTATCTGAAATCGCTCCCACAAGCACCATAACTGCAGTGTTTTGTTGTCACCATGATTCAATGATTTAGCCCAAATAAATACACACGCTTATGTGGAGAACACAGTAGTACTCAACGGAGTCGGACAGAGTTTGTCCGAAACATGCGCGCATGCGCAGTCATTGGAACTATTTTTAGCACATTTCGGAAACCGGACAGTGCCCTATTACACGTGTTTCTACTGTAGGTTTATGTGATAGTTTTATGGATTCATTATTTTATAAGTCATTTCAACTGTGATTCTGTGAATAAAGACACAGTTCTTGTTGGAAACATAGTTATTATTAAATAGTTTTCAGCACAAACAGTAAAACAATAATAGTGGTAAATATCTGAGACAAACATGAACGATTTACGAGTGTAGGAGGAAAGCAACAAACGCAGCTACGATTCAAACAAGACAGGAACAGTGCAAAACAAACGACTGCACAGTTTATAAGTTATATATATGTTAGATAGTCCACTGTTAGATAGTCCACTGTCTCCGAGCTCCGGGCTCTGAGCCCAAACTGCTTTTCCTTCGAAGCTTGAAGCTCTCTGCTCCATAGTGCCTTGTCCATTGTCCCTGCTGCAGCCGCTCCGTGCTTCCTTCCAATACACACACACGGACCAATCACAGCGGAGATTCCTTGCGGCGACCCTTACGTAGTTAGAAAATTTCGATGCTGCGCGGCAGGCGACGTAAGGGCCTTGCGGTGACCAACGCGTTGCGCAAGTGACGTCACGTCACCTCCGTAAGCCTAGTATAAACTAGGCTTAAAGGGCCTTGCGTTTTTTTTTTGCCTTCTTAAAATGTTATTCAGTCATGCAAGCATTTTGGCACAAATGAAGATGCCTTTTGTAGTGATGTTTGTAGTGTTGACTCAACAGTGTCAACTGTTTGTTCGTAAATTTTTGTTTTGCCTGTCTGTATGTACTTCTTTATACTATTGTTATTATTGTCAAATTTGACCTAGAGTCTGTAATAAAGTTAAATTGAAAATTGAATTGATTGAATTGATATTTAACTTTGTTGAACCAAGAACGCACTATTGAGATCAGTGATGGGAATAACGCCGTTACTTTTTTCAGTAACCTAACCGAGTAATCTAACTAATTACTTTGACTGTAACTATAACGCCGTTATCATTGCCGTCACCCCGTTACTGCATGTTACTCAAGTCGCACAATTAACTGTTTGCCCACACGCCCTGCTGGGCTTCGTGAGTTTGCTCCTCTCTCCAGTCCCAGCGCTGCTACAGGACCGCAGCCCCACACCGCTTATTTTACACAGCTTGATTACTGCTTAGCCCACTTTTCCACCTTGTTGCGGCCTTATTGTCCTTTGTCTGTGCTACTACTTCCTTCTAATAATCTATTCTGCTCCCCACCTCCTCTATTGCCCCGTTCACATTATTCCAGCGGCTGTAGATGATCCAGCCGCGCTCAGCGCGCTCTGTGCACTGTATTTTCCCTTGTTCTGGTCTGTCAGGCGCGAGGGCTGCTGAACGGAGGGGTTGTGTATAACTGCATGTTCTATAATGTGTTTTGTTTGATCAATGTATAAAAATAAATGCAATGGAATTTAAATGGAACCTTGGCCTGTCTTATTATTACTTACTTGTGTGCCTTTTCGGGACAGTTCCCTATACTAAAATAGGGTGGTGTTGTTGCAACAATAAATCTACTTAGAAGTTATCCTAAATTACAACCAGCTAAAGCTCGGTACCCCGACAAACAAAAAAGTAATGCAATAGTTACTTTTACTGGTAACTAGTTACTTTTATAGTGGAGTAACTCAGTTAGTAACTCAGTGTCTTTTTGGGAGAAGTAATTAGTAACTAGCCTGGCCTTAGCCATCCGTACACTACGCTCAATCATCATTTCACTGCATGTAACGTCTGGGTCTAGTCCCTGGGTTAGCGATTACAATCGATTGACCGACCTAACAGCGAGCGCGGAAGGCGGGTGTTGTAGTTAGTTGTGGGTGACGTCAAGAGTTTCCGTTGAACGGGAAGGTTGTAGTTTGGCAATGGCAAAAAATGCAATAGTAAAGTAATCCGGTCTGGTTCTATCAAGAAATTGAAGCCAGAGCAATAGGAATGTTTAGCAAATGTAATCACTAGAATAAATTGTGGCGCTACTCCCCACGGGCTCCGTTAGCGGCAAAGGAGATGGCTAGGCTAAATGCTAACGACTCACTCGGGCGCACTACATACGAGACGGTAAACTCAGATCCAATCGTTTAAATCTGCAAATGGAGTTAACGCCTCCCACCTGTAAACAGAGCTCAATGGAGCACCTCCAGACCTTAGTACGAAATTTGTACTATGGTGTGGTACGACCAGGCTAACTAGTAACTATAACAAATTACTTTTTCAGAGTAACGTGCCCAACACGGATTGAGATTGCAGCCCTCTTTGGAATACTTTTTCAATTCTTTTTAAGTGCCCCTTCAGCACCATTCGTACATTAGGGTTGTTCTGAAATGGTAGTAAGACCTTTGAAGTACTTTGTAGAGAATACTAACCGACCCTGTATTGTGTCCTTTTGTGTAGAGTGCCACAGCTCCTGCTCCGAGTGTGTGGGTCCCTCTGAGACAGAGTGTGTGTCCTGCGTTCACCTGTCGTCACTGCTCAAACACGGACAGTGTGTCTCCGACTGTGGACCTGGGTACTACAGCCAGGACTCCAACTGCTACGGTAAACACCATGGAATCAAGGACTATACCAGAAATAAACAAGGACTATACCAGGACTAAACAAGGACTATACCAGGACTATAACAGGATTATACCAGGATTATACCAGGACTAAACAAGGACTATACGAGAAATATAACAGGACTATAACAGGACTATAACAGGACTATGCCAGGACTATACCAGGACTAAACAAGAACTATACCAGGACTATAACAGGGTTTTACCAGGACTACACCAGGACTAAACAAGGACTATACGAGAAATATAACAGGACTATAACAGGACTATAACAGGACTATAACAGGACTATGCCAGGACTATACCAGGACTAAACAAGAACTATACCAGGACTATAACAGGATTATACCAGGACTACACCAGGACTAAACAAGGACTATACCAGAAATATAACAGGACTATACCAGGACTAAACAAGGACTATACCAGGATTATACCAGGACTACACCAGGACTAAACAAGGACTATACCAGAAATATAACAGGACTATAACAGGACTATAACAGAATTATACCAGGACTATACCAGGACTATACCAGGACTATACCAGGACTAAACAAGGACTATACCAGGACTAAACAAGAACTATACTAGGACTATAACAGGACTACACCAGGACTAAACCAGGACTCTAATGACATCAGGCTAAAGTTGGAGATTTTAGATTTCTTTCCTTATTATGCTAAAAATAGAGATTTTATTTTAATTTTATTATTCATTTATCTTGTGCTGTGTGCTCCTCATTCCTACTGTTCTGTAACGTATTTTGCAACACCGAAATTTCCCCACTCTGGCACAAATAAAGGATCTCTTAATCTTAAAACTAGACAGAGAACAAGGGCTAACCAGGACTATACCAGTTCTAAACAAGGGGAGGATCTGAATCTGATGAAAACACCCACTATATTACATACATAAACATAAACTATTCATTATTTGTGTTTTTTAAAATATGTCTGATTGCTTTGGAATGAATGAATGATTGATGCCTTCATTCATTCCTTTATTATTATTCCACGTTGGGGAAATTACAACATGGAGATGTGTAGCGGACCTGGTGTGCGCTCCTTTATGATGATGGATAATAGTAGAGAACATTTAAACATATTATAGACATGTTACTTGTGGACAAACATGCTGGATCTTTTTGATTGGAGACAACTCTGACCAACACAATATTTCAAGAACCTCTTAGTATTGAGTTAAGAGAAAGAATATTTACCTCTTTGGAAATCAAGATACACTTTTTTCTAACTTCTCAGAAATGTCTTCATACTAGAAACATATTTTTAGACTATAAGCAACAACAAAAAATAAATAAAAAAGAAAAGCTTACTAAGGTAATCAAACATTGTGCATATAAAATGCAGCTGTAATTCTCAATAGAAAAGGTGATTTGTCCAAATTTACCATGCACACAGGTCAAAAACCTGTTCTGACAAAAGTATGAAATGCATAGGTTTTTTAACATTGTGCTCCGTCAGACAACATTCCGATTCTTATAGTATTAGTAGTGATGTGAGTAAAATTTCTTTGCATTTGCGTAACCATTGTTCAAACAATCCCAGTTTTTCCTCTCCACCATTTTTTTTTAGATCAATTTATTTAAGTGCCCATTCAGCACCATTCATACATAAGAGTTGTTCTGAAATGATCGTAAGTGATTTGAAGTACTTTGTAAAGAGAATATTAACAGTCCTTGTATTGTGTCCTTTTGTAGTTGTAGTATATTACAGTATATACATTTTCTGGGGGATAGACAGTTCATGTTTGGCTGTTTTATTACAAAACTACAGCTTCACCTTGTTTGATTATAGTGAATGCTGTGGCTTGTGTGAACAGTTTTCTTTTCTTACATAATAATAACACGACCAAATCAGGACTAATCCACTCAGGAGCTGTATCTCTATAATTAAGGATTAAGGAAGTTATCAAGGACTGAACCAGAACTAAAACAAGACTAAACTTTGCTGCTATATGTTTCCGAATATAGCCCAAGACACTGTAACGCCGACGGGACATGCCATTTTAACCACTGTAGATTATTCTTGGTAATTGCGTGTGTAATCCCCATGCAATTTCAGCCTTCATAAAATACGTAGTGTTTCTGGAGAAGGGGAGAGAACTAGTGAAGACTGCTCTAATTAGGAGAGTTCTTCTGTATAAGAATATTAATATGCAAGTGAATAATGCATGTGAATTATGGATGTTATGTGCAGTGAGGCCTGGAATAGAAAGGTCTCCCACAGGAACTAAACCCACTAATTATTATTTTTGGATCCAGTCACCTCCTCCTATCAACATGAGGTGTATACAATTAAGCAGTTTTTTTTGTAGTTGGTCTTCTGATGCTGCTGTGTTTTTAAAGTCACATTTTCTATTGGACTTCAGTACTATGGATAAACTATTGTAACTTTTATGCCAGTGTTTCCCACCGCAGCCCCTTTTGGAGTATGCAAGCGTACTGTATTGCAGTAGGTACTTGAAGGGATTGTAAAAACTTGCAAACATTGATAGTACAAGGTTAATATAGGCTACTATGGAATGTTATACAGCATTTCAAAGCTACTTCTCTCAAGAAAACAGCCATATAATGAATTGGTTTATAAACATTCTACTCCGAACACAATTAGATTAATAATGTCTATTAGGGTGCTTTCACACCTGTTGGTCCACTAAAGTGGTTCGCTTGGGCCCTAAAGTTGTTACAATGTTGCAGTTCTCAACTAGTTCGGTTGTCATTCACACCAGTGTTTTTGCAAATGAACCAACCACTGTAGATGTTACATATTCCGCAACCCATGTGGTGGCGATGTTAACAAAATACTGTGTATTGGATGACGTATGTGACTGTGCTACTCTGCGTTTTTTGGCTATTTTTTATCATTGTTGTTTTGTGCAGAACAAATACTGTTGTTCCAGTATGTATCGCAGATTCAGCACAAGAACAATCTGCAGGTGTTTTTGACTATTCTATCATATAAAAAAACAATGTGTGTGTCAAAAAGTGAGCTACGCAACAGAGCAGGGCCATATTGAGGCCGGTCTGCGTTTTCACCAGCAGCGAACCAGACTGGAGTCCACATGGAACCGCACCGAGACCAGCTCCATATGGTGGTCTCGGTGCGGTTCTTTAGTCCGGACCAAATTTAACTGGTCCACTTTCACACCTGCTCAAACGAACCGTACTTGCAGGTGTTCCAGACTCCAGTCCGCTTTAAGTGGACTAAATGGTGCAGGTGTGAAAGCACCCTTAGTCTTCAATGCCAAGCCTGTCTTACAGTTTCCAAGCCTGTCTGTCCAGTTTTGATTCAGTTCAAGCATGTATTTTACATGTACATAAAAATTATAAACAAACTTTAGGAAATCATGGAAATCTTAGTAACAGTAAAGCCTAAGAACAGTTGTGGCCCCGGACCAGAATGAGTTTGAGCCCTCGGAATGTGAAAAGGTCTGGATCTACTTCCATAAACTACAGCTCTATGTTCTCTATGCAACTAGTCACTCACAGATGCATCACTCTAAATCCTATCCCAACAAAATGCAGAATGTTTTATTCATAAATATAATTTCATTCAAGCTGTAATTTATGTGCGGTGCTATTGAATCACAGCCTTTGAAAAAAAGTCCTTGGAAAACGTCCTGTGGTGGCGATGGTGAAAAGGGGATTGTTGGAGCGATAGCACCTTCAATATCTAGATTATTAGGACAGTAGTGATGATCCAGGACAATTAAGGACATTTAAGGACAATTTAGGAACAATTTAAGGATATTTGTCAGCTGCCCCTTATGGACCAATGGCTCTATGTGTTTTTTATTCTTGCATTTTTTGTTTGATTCTCTGATCTGTTTGGGCAAATAGATGGATACAGTAAATAGATAGATACTTTATTGATCCCCGTAGGAGAACTTCAGGTGTCCAGTAGCAGCAAAAATAAAATTGATCATTCTAAAAAGCTATTAATAGTATTAATCAGCCACAGGCCTTCAGGTCACAACAGCAAAGATGAAGTGGTCTCTGGGAGGAGCAGGACGGGTCACAGCAGCAGAGGTGGAGTAGCCACTGGATGGAGCAGAAATCGACAACTTTGTAAAAATTTGGCATTTAGGGCTGTTCAAAAATGAATAGAATTGAATTGAAGGAATGTTGAATGTTGCATTACTCAGCTACAGCTCATGTCAACCAAATCTGCTCAAGAATCTGTTTTTTTTTTTTTTCAGAAAGAGCAGTAATTAAATATCTTACAAGTTTAAGCAAGTGGGAGACCCTATCTGTGAAATCGCATGGGAAATTTGAACACAAATAAACATTAAAACTAAATCCAAGAAAAAACAGACTTGTTCAAATGTCCCTTGCTAATTTCTTTTGCGACGTGTCTAAGATCTTGGCAGAGAACTTGTGGAGCGGAGAGCGCGCAACTAAAGGGCAAACTCGTACTTGAAATGTGTCCGATGTGAAATGTCACTGAAACATTTGAGTGCAGCCTGGGGGATATCAGTAAGACCACAAGCTCTGTGTCCCCTCCGCTGTGCTGTAGGAGGAGCTTCACTTGGATGAGCTTTGACTAAAAGGATAGATCTGTCCAAACATGTTCAGACCTATTCGCAGGGGATTCATGTGACCTGGGGACGTCTGTAAGAATGAAACTTCTTCTCAATGAATATGCAATATCTTCCATTCACACGCTCTTACAGAAATAGAAATGGAAGAAACCTTTTCATTAACTTCTGTCACTTTAGCATTGCAACGTTTGGAGCGTTAAAAAATTGGGGGTTCATTATCACATAAGAAATTTGACGCAAGGAAAGTGATTGGTTTAAAAGTGAAAATAGCGAGGTAATAGTTTACAACAACAAAAACTCACTTACAATACTTTTTAACTTTTGAATGTTGTTAAATTTCATCAGTGGTTATGACCTGCGTCTGAATGCAACCTACTTGATTATAGTAGCACGGTGGCTGAGTGGATAGCACTCTCGCCTCTCAGCAAGTAGGTCCTGGGTTCGAATCCCGGCCGGACCAGGGCCTTTCTGAGTGGAGTTTGCATGTTCTCCCCGTGTCTGCGTAGGTTTCCTCCGGGTACTCCGGTTTCCCCTACCACTAAAAATATGTACAATAGGTCTGGCATGCGCCTCCTGTTCGGCGACCCCGCTCCCATCTCTGTGTGGAGTGAGAGGACAAGTGCCCATAAAATAACAATTGTAAACCGCTTTGTGACTCTGGTCTGTGAAAGGCGGTATATAAATAAAGCTTACTTACTTACTTACTTACTTATATTTTTTAATTAAAAATATCTCAACAACCAAACTCAAACTTTATTACTCATTTTGGCCACCACTGATACTCTTCTCCTGTTCTTTACTTGGTTGCAGAGTTGTTGTTTTTTTTCCTTCTTAAATTGTTATTCCGTCATGCAAGAATTTTGGCACAATTATAGATTCCCTTTGTAGTGAAGACTTTTTGACATTAATCGCCATTAATGGACATTGATCATCCTCCCCTTATGGACCAATGGCTCTATCTGTTTTTCATCATTGCATTTTTTGTGTTTGAACTGTTTGATTCTCTGACCTGTGTTGGTGAATTCATCAGTTGTGTAAAATCCTCTGGCATAACGACTGTTGCGATGTTGGGCTATACAAGAATAAATTGAATTGAATGGAATAACAGCTGTTTTAGTTCAGGATGGATATTTACTCAGAGCCGCAGTTCCATTACCTTAAAAGATCATGGAGCCAGTCGGTCATCCGGATCACCTCCAAAAACTATTGTTCTGTGTTCTATTTATGTAGAACCAGTTGTAAAAGTTTGGCTATAACTTTATGAGATACTTTGCTAACATCCTGGTGAAAACACAATAGATTGTAACTGTATAAAGCAAATAGTTAACCCTTAAAAGACGATGCCATCGCCGACGATGGTGGCGCACATGTTTTACAAATGATAAATTTACTCGTGAACGGTGAACGCTAGCAACTTACTTTTTTTATCTCCGTGAAGTACACATTCCAGCCTTTCCGAAACTGCCTTCGGTGTGTCTCTGCTACATACGGGGATAAACTACGTGTGTATGAAAGTCAGTCCCCCAAACGGATCTTCAAGCGGTGCCCCGTGAGCCAGGCACAGCCGCATGTAAAGTTGTTTACACACACGGGGACTCAGACAAAGATTGTCGGAGAGTGAGATGAATCACTCCTCTGTGTTTACTTGTTGCAGCATAGGCAGCAGCGCTCAGAGGAACCAGAGGAGTTCGCATTATTGAGAATAGACAATAATAAATACAATAAAATGATATTATGTGTATATAATGTATTTGTATATATAAATTAGATGTTTTTTTTTTTTTGTCTTAGTTTCTTTTGTTTTACATATTTTACAGCTGTGATACAGAAGCAACCACAGCCTCATAGACAAACTGCTTGAGGAAGGGCATCAGGAGTACAGCGTTTTTGGCTTTTATAGTGGAATTTTGTAAAAAGTATAATAGTTACGGATTCAAATTTTTTCCCCATTATCACCAAGACCATAAATAACATTTCTATGCAGTGTAAACAGTTGTTTATAGCATTTCATTGTGTTTTTTCAATACATTTTTGTGAAATTGATTTTCCGTTTCGATTTTTTCTTTGTCTTCATGACTCAACATTTTTTATATAATTGATATGACAGCTTCAAAATATAGATATTCTAAAACCCCTGGTTGTACTGAAAAAAACAAAGCATACTGCTTGACTCTGCATCAAAAAATTACTCTTTTATGAGCAATTATACACAAAGAAAACCAGGCGAGGAAGGTTCCCCAAAATGACCCTAGACCTTGGAGGGTTAACCGCCACTGTGGCCTTTGATTTGTGACCAACATATTCTTCATCCTGTTCACAGCCTGTGACTCGTCTTGTGAGTCCTGCTTTCCCGATAAACCTCTCTGCAGCAGCTGCCCCCCGGGAACTGCACTGCATTATGGGAAATGTATTTCTGAGTGTCCACCCCAGCACTTCAAGGACAGCCACAACAGATGCAGAGGTGGGAAGTGATCAATGACTCCTTGGTGTCTACAGAGATGAGAAAGAGGAAATCCTGTTCATGATTTTATCCCATTTATTTGAGTCTTTTTAGATATTTGTTGTAAATGTACTTCCTGTTAAAGTCATGATATACACAAATAGCTTGACTGATGGAACACTATTAGAAATATTTGTAACATTCTTCTATTGAACTAAACAAAGAAGTAACTTTTAAGATAAGTTTTAATAACAGTTTTTTTGCACATGCATTACAAAAAGTTCTCAGCATTAGCATACTTCCTGTCCTTGGATGATGTACAATAATGAGTAGCCAATAGGGAAACGCAAAGTCCTTGCGCGTTGTCCTTCCTTTGAAATGTTGACTCCATCATTGTTTGAACCCCTATGTGTGTCTCCTGTAGGCTGCCACAACTCGTGCCGGTCCTGTTGGGGCCCCTCGGTGTCTCAGTGCTCAGACTGTCCCAGCGGACTGTTCCTGCATCAGGGACAGTGTGTGGACACGTGCGGAGAGGGGATGTACCCACAAGAGCAAGCCTGCCTCAGTGAGGACATTCTACTATACTATGCTCCTTCTGATCACAAAACTGGACGCTCTTAGAGCCGCGGCCATGATCTAGATTTGTTCAAGATTTATTTACACATTCTGCATATAATATTAAGTAAGTAAATAAGTATTAACTAAAACCTGTTTCCTGATGACATTCATATGTCACATGGTCGGATAATTAAATTGAATACTGAATTCTAGGGATGGGGAAGCGCAGTGGCACAGTGGTTAACGCTTGTGCTTCACTGTAAGAATGTCCTGGTTCGATTCCACCTCCAGACCTTTTTGTGTGGAGTATGCATGTTCTCCCCCGTGTCTGCGTAGATTTTCTCTGGGTGCCCCGGTTTCCCCTACCACTAAAAACATGTACAATAGGTCCTGCATGTGCTTCCTGTATGGTGACCCTGCTCTCATGTGTGGAATGAGAGAAAAATTCCCAAAAACAATGTGAAGTGCTTTGTGACTCGTCTGTGAAAGGCGCTATATAGATAAAGATGACTTACTTACATGGGTATCCAGCCGATACAATACCACATTACAGGGGACTTTCAATTTAAAAATATTTCTTTCTAAATGATTCCATTCATTCAATTTGACAAAAATACAATACTTTTAATGTATTTATACATAATTCATTAAAGATGAATTGTTAAAAGTCAATATGAAATTAAAACAAATCTATTTATAATTCCTTTACATTTAAAAATATATATTTTAGTACACCCCTACTGAATAAATTATTAAAACAAAAGCAGTCACCATAAGGTATTTGTTGAAATATGCTGCAATAAACTGTATGTGGTTCTTTGTTTAGCACTTCACACTCATTGTGATAAACACTTAATTAACTTGTGGCAGCTCTAGTATGTTCTAGATTGGCCTCCATTTAAACATACTGTCCAAGAGCCTGACTGAGAAGTGTCGCACCCTCAAGGCCTGCAAAGCCTTTACTGCTGGCCTAAACGTGATTACATACCTATTATATATGTTTTATAATATTATTATTTGTTTTCTATGTTTATTTTTTCACAAACTACGTTGGTTGCACAGCTTCTTACTTCAGGTCGACATTTGGGAGGTCTGGCGTCCAACAGAGTTTTTATCCAATCATGTGTTGCTCTGGCCCAAAATCTGCCTCTGGGCCTTTAGACTCTACATTACTGGCCCGCTTAACTCAATGAAAACGAACCTGTGGCATCAACCAATCAGTGTCAATTCTGTTTCCTGAGGGCCAGCTAGCAGGCCCTGCGCCGCGTCAGAGCATGCACCTCTTCCTTTGGGATACACGATACAGAGAGACGTGAGAATGCTGACGGCATGGATCTACGTTCATGTGATAAACAGAAACAAACACAGATGCTAATGCTAATGCCTCACCGCCGGTAAGAAACTAGAACATTAAAACTCACACGCAATACTTAAATTGTAGTTGGAATTTCCCACATTAATGCTCATAACTGGGTCCTGAATTCTTGTGTTGCACTCGGTCATGTTCTCAGATAAAGTCAGAGAAGAAAGTTAGGGGGGGAGAAATCTGTGGCACTAACAACATTGGAGATTGCTGCTTTAGGACATCACTGGAGGCGCAGGTCTGAAATGCACGGACCGCCACTGTGACTGAGGCATGTTTGGAAAAAAAGTAAATGTCATCCTGCATTTCACAAAATATCCCAGTCCCCACATTGTCTTTTCTTTCAGGCTCAGACAGATTTGATTTGAATGCATTTGACTGACGTCTACATGTGTTCCAGACTGCCACCCGTCCTGCCGCTACTGTGTGGGACCGTTGGCGTCAGACTGCGTGATGTGTCTCAAACCTGAACAAGTCCTCGTCCCACAGTATTCCAGCTCCCAACATGGAGTCTGCGCCCCCAAGTGTCCCAAGTACAGCTACACGGACCCCCAGCGAGTCTGCAGAGGTCAGTCATCCATCTGCCTCCCTCCTCCTTCTATCTCTTTGCATTGGCGGCCATGTTCGCGAATGTTAAAATTTGACATTTTGTTATTTCGCATAGTTGACACAGTTGTCACAGAAACTATTCTCATCAAGTCCTGGCAGAAGTGCGTTAAGGAAAAGAATGACGTGATCCGTTGTCATACAGAAATAATTCAGAGCCAGTAAATAAGTCGTGACTACTAAACATCTCATTTCACCTTGTACAGACCCTTCAAATACATTCATATCAGCGCAAAAGTCATTGAGTGCATAATATTTATTATGGATTGCCCCAAGAGATGAAGGGGGATCCTTATTATTATTAGTTTTTCAGATGATAAATAGGATATATTACTAGTGACCAATACATTCACATAATCACATTTCTCTCCTCCATGGGCAATTCATTTGAGCGGAAAAACAACACAAATCAAAAAACATCAGCTAAATGAAAAACAAGCTAGAGCCCAAAGATAAACAATGAACTTTTTCCAGCAGCAGACAGCTTGTGGCACACAATAGAGTCCATACTGCTGATTACAGAAAGCTTGCCAATCTCAAATATAGATCCTATTTTACATTTTTATTAACGAGAAAACAGAAATGACATAAATATCACTCAATTATTTCTGGATTTTTTTTATTTGTTTCACTTCCCATGAATATCTAATGATGCATTCCATTTGGTGTAATTCTGGTCACAGTGAGAAACATCAGTGAGAAAAGAGGTCACCAATATAGAACTTTCACTTTTAAATCACTGTTTGACTGAATGATGGCAAACAATTACAGCATGGCTAAATGCTCTCAAAAGTCTATTTTGCACAATATGTTGCCAATAACAAAAAGTCACTTTGAAAGCCTCAGTGCAGAATAACCTTGTAGCGACTGGGATCGAACAGCCACCTGTCTATTGTCATAATAGGCAAACAGCTTGTCTCTTTTCAACTTCCCGTGTGGAGCAAACGCCACACACGCTCTATCCTTTCCCCATGGCTTCATAGAAACACAGGCAAATGTTTATCACAGCTAATTTGACTTATATAATTATGGACCTTCTGTGGGGCGCCTTCATGTTGGAATCGTGAGCAAAGTGCCATCTTTTCAATTACTTCCTGGAAATGAAAAAGTCTTTGAAACGCACCCACCCATGGACCATTCTGACTCATTACAAATGCTAAGCTCATCCATCACAGTCATAGCATTCAAAATACTCTTTCTTTGAAGCTAGAATCTGATTTCTACCCTTTTTCTCCTGCTGTCTTTGCAAATAAACACGGTGTTGTTGAACTACTGCTGCTATGCTTCATTCATCACGTAATTATGTCGTGATGTCAGATTATCACCAATAAAATGTTTGTCAAAAATATAAACAAGTGTTGAATGTGACAACTGTTACTACTTTGTCTTTCGACAATTGTTCTGTGCATCATTGCCACATAGAACCAAAGCCTTTTGCCACAGGGTGCAGTCTTCTTAATAGACAGTTCATGTAACTTTTAGTGGCCATACATACGAAAGCCATAAATGTGTGTGTATAAATGGCTGGTTTGCCCCAGGGCAGCTGTGGCTGCAGTAGAAGTTTATCACCACCGTGTATGGAGTTAAAGACATGTGAAGAGTCTTTGAGTGTCCTGAAAAGCAGTAAAAAAACAATGCATTATTAATATTAACCTTGAATCTTTAACTGCTGTGGCACAGATTAGACTTTCTGACAAATGAAATGTAGTACCGACTACCTTTTGGACATTTTTATAGAATGTTTTTCTGATTTACTCAAATGTACAGTTTCCATTCCAATGTATCGTAGCTTCAAAAGTGCAGAAGTCGGTTGTTGGTGAACATGTCTGGTTTATTTGTTTTGTTACATTTCAGTTTTAAGCTCTTTAAAGAAAACTCAACAATCAGAATATCTGAACAACTGACTGGATCTGCAACGAGTTAACTTATCATGTATTATTACAAAGATCATAAACTATTTTGACATGATTTAATGATTCACCAATTTATGCCAAAATGATAAGATCCATGTCAATTTGGGATTTTAAAGGAATAGGCCACCGTTTTTACATACTGACATGTTCTTAACTTTACCTTAGACTTGTTGATATGTACCTGTCTGATCTTTGTCCGTGCGCACTGTCATGCAAACGGAGCACAAACACAGCCTCTTCCACATACTGTATAGTAATCTTTATTTAATCTTTATTTATATACCGCCTTTTCACTGCAGATCTGAGTCTCAAAGCGGTTTACAATTGTTAATTTTGGGCATTTGTCCTCTCACTCCACACAGAGATGGGAGCGGGGTCGCCAGTACAGGAGGCGCATGCCTGAACTATTGGACATGTTTTTAATGGTAGGGGAAACCGGAGTACCCGGAGGAAACCTACGCAGACATGGGGAGAACATGCAAACTCCACTCAGAAAGGCCCTGGTCCGACCGGGATTCGAACCCAGGACCTTCTTGCTGAGAGGCGAGAGTGCTATCCACTCAGCCACCGTGCCGCCCGCCCTAGTACCAAATCAGCTCCCGTTAGAAGCTACCAAACTCTTCCACGTGTTCCCTATTTAAATACAGTTACGTGAGGTGTTACTCTACAAAGTATAGTAACACAGAAATGTAACATGTCGATTTTCTCAGCGGATAAAAAGGGGTACTATATTGTGAGGCGTAATAATACGAGGAGCGCTATGTCCGCGCACTAACTCCAACAAGTCACGCTGCTTCTATTGACGGAAGTGAGCGGGAGTGAAGTCTTTGGGTGCAGTGAAGTCTTTGGGTGCAGTGACTACTACCTACTAATTAATTCTACTACTGCTTACTAATTAGTACTACTACTATTGCTTACTGTTTACTATGACTTTCTACTACAACTACTACCACTTACAATTATTACTATTTACTACTTCTACACTGCAAAAAAATATAAAATATGGCAATAATTGGCCATTTAGCCTTATTTCAAGAACTTTTGCTTTATTTTCTCATTCTGGATTTTTATAAGATATTTCTTGTATCTTTTTTAGACCGGATGCAGTCACAATGTGCCCAAATTAGTGAAAATGTTGCCAAATTTGAGAATTGTTTTACTTATTTTTCATCACTTCTTACGGTGTGCTACTACTACTTACAACCTCTTGTACTACTTCTACTGCTACTACTACTGCCTTTACCTACTGTATACTGCCTCCCTGTTAGCATCTGTCCATGCTGTGTGCGTGAAAGATTTGAGGGCAAACACAACGGCTTTGTGTTTGTGGCTGCGTGTGGAGACAGATGATAGGGTTGTTGGTTAAATTGTGCGTGTAATCGGCTCATTTTGTAGTCCGCAAGGGGTGGGGGTACAGGGGGTTGATGGGCTGTCAGGTAAAAGTAATTATGTTGTGTTGCTAAAACATACACATGGTCCTTGAGACATCTGTGTGCGGCAGACGACGGCCAGCCGAAAGTGCTGCACCCAAATTTACAGAAATACTATTAACAATTACTATTTAGTCATTTTATGTGTAGTATTAATTACTTTTACTTGCTAGTAAGTAATAGTAAGTATATAAATCTAGCTCCACTCATCACCGGGGTTACGGCTGTACTTGCATGAGTATCTGGCAGGCCCTGCATTTGAGATTAAGATTAAGAGATCCTTTATTCATCCCACAGTGAGGAAGTTTCAGTGTTGCATCACCAGTTACACAACAGTAGGATTGCAGAGCACACAATACAAGATAAATGAACAATTACTCTATTCTAAAATACAAATAAATAAAAACTCAGGAAGCAAATCTAAAATTGGCAAGTTATGCAAAATGAAGAGGAAAGAATGAAATATAAAATCTCTCACTTTAGCATGTAAGCATAAAGTCTCAGACCTGTGCCTGCAGAGCTGCCATACCCAACTTAATGCATCTCTTAAAACAATAATTCTGATGTTATAGATCTTCACATGATCCATTTTAGACCAAAACAGGCGTACAAGTACAACAATTATATTAGTCAACTGAGCTTTAGTCACTCACCAACAGTATACAGTATGCTTTAACGAGAGCGTACTGTTGAAACAAGTCTATCAATCTGTCAAACTCAGAGCAGCGTCACAGAAACATGATACAGATGAACTATTCACTGAAAGATAGTTTGCTGCTTCTCGGAGCCAGGGGGACCGTTCGTAGTGGCGGATGAATCCTTTCTCCTGCTGAGTCAAGCTGAATAGCGTCTAGCCTCACTTGAAAAGTTTTTCTAGATAATGGTGTTGCACACTCTCATGCTGTTCGCCTGTTGGCTGGCCCTTTTGTGAAGCCAACTCGATGTTGATTGGTTAATACTACGGGTTTATTTTAAATCACTTTAAACTACTGTGGGCCAGCAGTGTAGCTTCTGATGGCCTGGAGGCAAATTATGTACCCTGAACCCAACAGATGATGCTGAATAATAATTGGCTAAAAGCTCATCACTCAACATAAACGCCAGTCTTCCAAATGGCGACCAGTGGCTGGAAGTATAACCAACTGAATACACACTGAAAAAATGAAAATATATAAGGTGATAATTGCTTGAATCAAGTCTTTTTTTCAATCCTAATTTGATTTTAATTTGAGTACATTCTGACTGTTTTATTACCAGATTAGCCAATAGGACAAAGCCATTTAGTCTTATTTCAAGAACTGCTTTATTTCCTCACTCCAAGTGAGAAATTTCTTTTTAAAACAAGATAATTGTGCTTGTCCCATTGGGAAATATAGTTTCAAAATTGCTCAAATTGAGATACATTTTTCTAAATTCGAGCAATTTTTGACTTATTTTTCATCACTTTTGCATAATAGATTCTGGGTAATAATTTAATACAATTTTTTGGAATAAAATAAATAAAAAATGTTTTGCTGATTATGTTTAGGCCAGCAGAGAATGGTCAGCCTACATGTATTTTATTTATGTCAGCAAAGTATATGAATATTTGTACCCTCAATATTCCATTTACCCATCTC